TTTTGGAGAGGCTAAGGGCAGTGGGGATTCACTTGGAGGTCAGGAGTTCAAGACTAGCCTTGGCCAACATCGTTGAAATCCCCCATCTCTACTAAAAACAAGCAAAAATTAGCCCCAGCATTGTGGCCACATGCCTGTAGTCTCAGTACTTCAAGGAGCATGAAGGCCGAGAATGGGCTTGAAGCCCAGGATGGTAGAGGTTGCCAGTGAAACCCGAGATCATGCCCACTGCACTCCAGCCGTGGGCAAACAGCGTGACTCGTGTCTCGACAAAAAAAAAGGAGTTTTAGCATACACCTCCTTATCTGTTCGGGAATGCTACATCTCTGTACTACAGCGTCTTTGCTTCTGTAGGCATCAAGACAGGATGGCTTGTCCACTGGGTTTCAAACTTCTGAGCAGCTCTTTTGAGAGAAAGGAAGTTTTTTGGGAGTAAGAAGAAAATCCAAGAGAGGGTTCCTGGGTTCCACACATCCACATCAACCAGATCTTTCATTTTTTTTATACAGATGTGGGCTTTACAGTAAGACTCTTCTATTGAAAAAAGGAAAATGTAATCTGTCGTGAGACTAGAGTAAAAATATGTAAAAAATAAGGAAATACATATGTTTAAAAAGAAAATGATTTCACACTATTGCAAGGTTTAACTATTTTCAGTGTGCCTGCTAGGATAGAAGAGGCAGTGGTACTATTAGTCTAGGGTTGCCTGAAAGCAACCTTTAAAAGGATCTGTGAGTTGCTTTTTTGCAACAGCCAAAATCTGGAAATAGCGCCAAATCTCCAACAGCAAGTAAATGATAAAACAAAGTTGTGTACTACTCAGCATAAAAAAGGGAATGAATTATGAATTAATAAGCACCACACCAGATGAATCTCCAAAGTAATTTTGAGGTCTGATGGCTTCTGTCTAAAAATGAAAGAAGTAATTTTGAGTGAAAGAAGACATACAGAGTTATGTAATTTTGAAAGACAGTAATTTTGAAGAGTATGTAATTTTGAGTGAAAGAATTTTGAGAGAAGACAGAGAAAAAGCACAAATGGCATGATTTCATTTTTATATAATTTTAGAAAATGCAAGCTAATCTATAGTAATAAAATTTATCAGTGATTGACAGAGGACTAGCCAGAGGGATTATAATAGAGCACATGGAAACTTTTGGGTGTGGTAAATATGTTATCTCGATTGGAGTGGTTTACAGCTGTATATGTCAAAGTTTACTAAATTGCACACTTATTTTTTTAAAGTAAAATTATGCATCAATTGTAAATTTAAAACTTAATTTTAAAAAGTCATTTGTCTGCCGGGCGTGGCGGCTCAAGCCTGTAATCCCAGCACTTTGGGAGGCCGAGACGGGTGGATCATGAGGTCAGGAGATCGAGACCATCCTGGCTAACCCGGTGAAACCATCTCTGTACAGCGTCTTTGCTTCTGTAGCATCAAGACAGGATGGCTTGTCCACTGGTTTTCAAACTTCTGAGCAGCTCTTTGGAGGAAAGGAAGTTTTTTGGGGAGTAAGAGAAAATCCAAGAGAGGGTTCCTGGGTTCCACACATCCACATCAACCAGATCTTTCATTTTTTTATACAGATGTGGGCTTTACAGTAAGACTTTCTATTGAAAAAAGAAAATGTAATCTGTCGTGAGACTAGAGTAAAATATGTAAAAATAAGGAAATACATTGTTTAAAAAGAAAATGATTTCACACTATTGCAAGGTTTAACTATTTCAGTGTGCCTGCTAGGATAGAGAGCAGTGGTACTATAGTCTAGGGTTACCTGAAAGCACCTTTAAAAGGATCTGTGAGGTTGCTTTTTTGCAACAGCCAAAATCTGGAAATAGCCCAAATCTCCAACAGCAGGTAAATGGATAAACAAATTGTGTACTACTCAGCAATAAAAAAGGAATGAATTATGAATTACTAATGCACACACCAGATGAATCTCCAAGTAATTTTGAGGTCTGATTGCTTCTGTCTAAAAATGAAAGAAGTAATTTTGAGTGAAAGAAGACATACAGAGTATGTAATTTTGAAAGAAAGTAATTTTGAGTGAAAGAAGACATACAGAGTATGTAATTTTGAAAGAAGAGCATGTAGCACACGCGTCATTTCCCTTTTTATC